CTGTATTTACCATTTCCTCTTCACTCACTGGGTCCGTGCTGTAGTTGCTTTTGCCTAATGTGCAGCTTTCCTTTGTGCAAATAAAGTAAAGGGCGTTTCTGCTCTTGTTCTCTCCACAGTCCTCTGTCCCACGTAAAGTCAAAGGCGACACTCCTGTTTCCAGAACCATCCACTGGACCATCAGAAGAGGGTTCTGGTAATCCAGGAAAACCCCACAAAGTGGCCCCCAGTTTCCACATCATAGACTTTCTTTCCTTGTGGTACTTTTTTTTTAAAACTCTGTTGATCCTAGGATTTTAACTCTCCTTGACTCATATATTCCAATGTAACTTTTAACTTTTTAATGCTTGAGTACTACATCTTTATGTATGTTCTGACTGCATGATAACTTGTCTATAGATGCCAGTAATCAGTATTAGTCTGAACACTTCACTTCCTGGTTTGTGCGGGGCTTTTTTTTTTTTTTTTTTTTTTGAGTTGTGAACAGTCAGGAAAATCACAAAAGTTTAACCCGCGTGCAACGTCATCAAGCTTGTGTGAGGTGAAATTTGCATCCGTGTAGTTCATGCCTGACAGGAAAAACGAATCCGGGCAGAATCTGTGAATCTCAAAGTGCCGGGCAAGTCGTGTTATGAAGTCTTGTTTTGTTATTTCCTTGTTAGGAATCCATTGCATTAATGGCATTTGTTGATGGTTGCACATCATGACAGCGTCTTAAGGTTGAAAACTGCTTGGTGAGGATCAAGGAACAAACCCTTTAATTTAAAAATGCAAAACTGTAGGTAGTGATGTTGTTGCATGTTGCTTTAGGGTTTGCACTCAATAGTAGCTGTTAGCTGAATGTTAAGATGAAATATTTTGTATATGATGAAAGAAATTGCACAGTTTGGGGAACTTTTTTTTTTTAAATAGGGAAAAAAAAGTGGAAAGACTTAAAGTCGTAGCTGGATGAACAAATATGTAAAGCATATTTTTGGATAAGGGGATGTTTTTAGTGAGATAAGGGACTTTGTAAACATTTTGTAAATCTAGTTTGTTGACCTCTGAGCCCTCAAGTAGTAACCTCCCCATCCCCACCAATGTCATCACTTCCCCACGAGGTGTCATTTCACGAGTCTGCAGATACCTCATGTGCTAAAGTTCAGCATTAGTGGCAACCAGTCTGTCTGATTGTATGTTAGCTTGGTGTTGTAGCTCAAATGAAGTCAGATTTGGTAAATAGTTAAGCATCTGTTATTAGTTGTGGCATTTTTAAACCAGTCTCTTACATCTTTAGCGGTTAAATTTTAGTGGTAGCACTTTACTCCGTCAGTGATCTGATCGTGTGCTGTTGTAGCACAGAGTACGTCTCAGTAGATTAGTGTGTGGTGAAGCAAAACTGCCGTGTAATGTCTTTGGCGGCTCTGGAGAACCTTTTAACATGATGTCACCAAGGTTATTTCATCCCAGGCTTGAGAAAACCTTCAGGATCTGCACAAGGACTAAAAGTCTGGGCTTTCTTCCAAGTCTTTCTGGAAGTGCAATACGTACTGGCAGGAGTTGCCCCTCTAAAACCAACCGCGTCTTCAGCAAGTTGGCACGCTAACGTTCGAAACACCAGCCGCTACAGGTGCACCACACACTGTCAGATCAGGTCTAGCCTAGCTCTCAGGTACGATCATCAGTGTTAGTAGTTTAAATCATCCTCAGAAAGTTTCTGACATTCCTGAGTCGTCTTTTAGCAGCTAGACTTGGAGCTTGCTGCACTTCTATCTTAGAAATGTTCTCATGCGTAGCAGCCACTCGGCTGAACCCGCTCAGAATCGTGTAGTACGCTCTGCAGTCATAGCAGCAGCTGTAGCGCAGGTAACATCTGTAGAGGCTGCAGTAGCATCTGCTTGTTGTAGGGGTCTTCTTATAATAGCATAGCTGTGGTTAACGCGTCTGTCTTTTACTGGGTAATAATCGAACGCCTCGCTCTCGGAAAGGGGAGTGATGAAGATGATGAATGTCGGGGAAGATTGCACAAACGGTTGCTTAAATGAATAGGGGGTCATTTATTTTGTTAAGGAAGTCAAAAGCTTGTAGTGCTGTGTTAAGACTATTTATATGTAACCTGTTTCTACTTTTGCCAGCTAAGAAAACATTCGCAACCAAGCATGTGCTGCATGCACTTTAGTGTTGCAAACACATTTCTTATGGTTAATGATTTGTCTGTTTAGGAGCATATGGATATTAGATTAAAGGGACAAGCAGAGAAACCTGTTATAGTTTTAACTCGTGGAAAGTAATCAGAAGTCCTAAAATCAGAGGCAGCGAAATACTTAAATCATATCTTGAAAGGTGTCTATTGATTTGTCATAATCTGGTTAGGAAAGTGCTTAAATTAAACTAGCTTTTAATGCCATCTGTGTAAATAAAACACTGATTTATATTGACATGGCAGTCAGCACAGAGGTCACTGAAAGATCTCATCTCAGGCCAGAGCCTCTCATCCGGCCTGCTCAGCAGACATATCAGTTCAACTACAAATTGAAAGATTTATATTTATATATGTACAACAAGCAATGAAATAAGAGGCTGCCTTTGTAAATGCCTGAAAATCTTTGTACAGTTAACAAATAACTCATTTTTTTTAATGCAATATAATTCCCCAGTTTGGGGTTTAATGTTTACTGTCTCATGTGGTACTGCAATATATTAATTTATTATGTAAATGTTTGTTTTGTAACCATATTATTGACTGTAATGGTACAAGTGTTTTGTGCCCTCATTGCATTGCAACCCATTTCAAAATAAAAACTAGAGTTACCTCCTCATGCTTGTTTTCCCTGTCAATTTGCAGGTTAGGTCTGTGCATGTCCAACCTTGACCTTTCAGATATGAAGTGTAATTTC